AGACGGCAAAGGAAAAGATTGACTGGGGAGGTGGGTTAGCGGTGGATAGGTGGATCTTGCACTTCCTCTTTGGAGAGCCTGGAAAGTAATTTGACGCTGCGAGATTCAAACTTTCCAGTGAGTTGCTTGTACGTTTTCCTGCAGGCAGACAGAGAGAGAGAGAGAGAGAGAGAGAGAGAGAGAGAGAGAGAGAGAGAGAGAGAGAGAGAGAGAGAGAGAGTTTTGCCGCTCATCAGATAGTGAGAGGTGGGGAATTTCAAATGGTTTGGCAGTTAATGGTGTAGCAGGTGTTGTTCATGGATGATGGACGGGAATACCTAATTCTTTCTTAGAATTGGAACTCGCTGGTTTTGAGAGACCCATGTGTTCTTCCTGCTATATTTGGAGAAATTAGGGTGTTTCCTTAACATTGTTATTCCGGTTAGGAGCCAGCCATCTTAAGGGTGTATCTCATTGGCCTCCAGGGGCCGTTCGTCTATAAGTGGCCGACGTTGCATTGCTCCAGGTTAAGGTTTTCGCGTTCGTACACTGGCATGCTTGCCAGTCATAAATCAGTCGTGAATAATAATAATAATAATAATAATCAGGGGCAAGCGGATGGTCCTTCTCCAGGGTATTATCAACAAATGCAACCTGGGGATTCCTGACATTGCGACAAGTCGCATGACAAGGGATTGAACCCGCGACCTTCTTCAGCTCCGTCGTCGTAACGCTGCTTTGAGATTTCCAAGGAGAATAAGAAGACTGTTCCGATGGTGCCTTTGTAAGTCTGCTTCGAGATTCTGCGTCAACGAGGCGAATAATTGGGGATTCCGTTGTTTTATTCTTATTTAAAAAAAACGGAAGTCCAGGCTAAAAACAGGTTTGGGAGTTCGGATGCACAATAAATGAGAAATTTGGCCGGAGCTGGTCTGGTTTGCTCATCTCGCTGGTCCTCATTTTCTCTTTCCTTGGTTCTTTTTCTGGTCTTACCCCTAATGAGACCCCACCCACCCTCCTCTTGTCAATTCTCCCCGGTGTACCCCCATTCCCCCAGTCCTACCTCTGTGTCCACCGCTCAGGACCATCACCCTTGTACTTCTTCTTCTTCTTCTTCTTCTTCTTCTTCTTCTTCTTCTTCTTCTTCTTCTTCTTCCTCTTCTTCTTCTTCTTCTGCTGCTGCTGCTGCTGCTGCTGCTGCTGGTGCCGCTGCTGCTGCTTCTGCTTCTTCTTCTTCTTCATCTGCTCCTGCTTCTTCTGCTTCTGCTTCTGCTTCTGCTTCTTCTGCTTCTTCTGCTTCTTCTGCTTCTGCTTCTGCTTCTGCTCCCGCTGCTTGTTCTTCTTCTTCTCCCTCCCTCTGCTTCTTCTTCTGCGTCTGCTTCTGCTTCTTCTGCTTCTGCTCATCTCTATCGCCCCCAATACCTTTTCCGGGGCCCAAAACGGATTTATTTCTTGTTCTTTCAGATTGCCATAACTTTCCAGGGCCCGAAATGGTTCTTTTATTCCTCAATTACTTTTTTGAGGGGAGGGAGAGCTTACGTGTACAAACTTCTTATGAAAAGTTTCGTCCAAAGACAAGGTGTCTATAAGTCAATCCCGCTTGCTGTTTATTTGTGTGGATGTCCACCAAAACCCAAAGTGGCAATTGATTTTTTTTTTTTTTTTTTTTTTAACAGCCCGAGGGGATGCTAGGGGTGCTGATAAGAGCAGGCACCACTGGAAAACGGGTCAAGCGTTCCTGAACATTTTGGTTGGTAGCGGTAATTGATTGAGTAATAAAGTAATTTAAATAATAGCTCAAGTGGATAGTACTGGATATTAACCAAAAGCATTTTTCTCTGTGTGTGTGCATCCGTGTGTGTGTGTGATGGATGACTTAACCCCCGCGACGCTAAGCGGGGCGAGTTGTACGGAGAAGTGCGATGGAAAACAACAACAACAACAAAAACATACCAAGCAAGAAAAAGAATTCGTCCACTATAGACCAAAACGAGGCCACGTCTCAAACATAAGAAAGCTAAAAACGCTGTTGAAAACATCAACAGCGAGACAAAAGGACTAGAGGCTGAGGGCACCAGGCTAGGGCACAAGGCAGCGATGGAAAGGCAAAAAGCAGCGAATGCAAGGCAAAGGCAGCGAGGGAAAAAAAGAGCAGCAAGTCAGCGGATGCAAGGCAAAGGCAGCGAGCCAAAGTAGCCAGTCAAAGGCAGCCAGTCCAAAACTAGTGGCTGCAAGGCACATAGGCTGGAGGGCATGGGGGAGGTGGGTGTGCAAACAGACAGCACACCAGACAACGAGGGAAAAGGCACAAAGTTCAAGTGCCCAGCGGAGATAAACACGATGACAGTAAAATCAAAGCCTGAAAAAAGCAAAACTGCTGATGAGAGATTGTTTCCTCGGAGGCTGAACCTCGACATTCTGTGGATTACCTATATTCAATTTGACGCTTCGGGTCATGAACTCTTTGACTCTTGTTCAAAGCAGATGCCAGCAGGCAACATATCAAAAGGAAAATAGCAGCAGGCAACGACTCATGACTCAGCCAAACACCAGGCAACGACCTAGCGAAGTATCAGGCAAAAGCTCAGCGAAGTATCAGCCGAAGTATCAGCGAAGTATGAGGCGAAGTATCAGGCGAAGTATCAGGCAACTGGACTGCGCAACACCAAAGTTAACTGCAAAGAACAGCGCAGGTGGATGGGCAGGAACAAGACAGCGAAGCACAAAGCAGTGGTGCAAAGCGGCCAAACTACACGGCACACGAGCTAAGTTAAGTGGAATGGAAGACGAGGCACGTGGATGGGCAGCAAGGCAACAGCACAGCGAAGCATACGGCAGCGAAGCAAGCGCGATGTGTGGCAAGGCAGCGGTGGAGCATAGACAAGGCAGTCCGTACATCCAACACCAAGCAGAGCAGAACATCACCCACTCACACCACAATTGAACCCCGCAGACTGTTGGTTTCCACCACCCGTTGAGCTGGGCATTCAATCCGATGAACATCGGTCATTTGCCCGTAGGAAACACAGACATCCTGAACGGAGCGCCCCCACTAATAGTGCTGCAGACTCTCCAAACGAGGACTGACTTGACTATTTGGCACTGCTTAGAGGTGCTCGGTTGGAAACACACGAAGTACTTTGCGAAATAGGCAGAAAGACATACAGAGAAAGTACAATGAACGACATACATTGAACTGATTGTGTGTGTGTG